TGCCCGCCTCAATGCCTGGCCATTTTTTTTTTTTTTTGGTTGCAGCCATCATTGTTGTTTGGTGGCCCGGGCTGGGGATTCGAACCCGCTACCTTAGGTGTATGTGGCTGGCGCCTTAGCCGCTTGAGCCACAGGCGCTGAGCCCCAGCATGTGTTTTTACAAGAGAATTTAGCTCATGAGGGATTGATAAATAAGGGAATGATATCATCATAATGTGGAAGTTTATGTACACTTTTTTCCAGCACATGAATGACTGGGACCACTTGCAAGCCTCAGAGTTAGTCTATGAATCTAATTCATCTTATGTTCTTCCTCTGGGCTCAGTCTGGCCACATGTTTTGTCTTGGACATGCTTATTGCACAGATATCTCCAATCTTTGCACAGTTTGTCTTTGTTTCCATAACTCTGCAGTCTCAACTCCTCTTTTTAAAGAAGATAAAATCCTATATTTACTTCAGCATTCCTTTATTTTTTAGGAACTTGATATATCCTTTTAATGTACCAGTATAATTACTGAGATTGTTGATGTTTTTTATAGCACTACTCCAGTTACACAATGGCAAAGGTTTTGAGTATTTTGTCCCAATATGTTTTCTCAGGAAGCCCTGTTATTTTCATTTAGCAATTTTGTGAAATACATGTTTGGAATTGTTTTCGTTTTGTTTTTTTTTTTGAGCACACATGTCTATCACAGCAGAAATACCTGTATAATTAAAGGATATTTTGAAAGTAGAACAAATACAGTTTGATAATTCACTGAATGCTGGGTGGTAGAAAAGAAGAGAAGTCACTAGTAACCAAAATTTTTTGGCCTGAGCAGTTTGAATATTGGAGTTTCTAACTGCTCAGATGGAAGAGATTATAGGAGATCCAATTTGGGGGACACAGTGAAGAGTTTGCTTTTGGACATGAACATTTTAAGATATATATTAGCCAAGTGGAAATGTTCAGTAGGCAATTGCATATATATCTGGAGTACAGTGCATGCTGAAGATAGAAATTTGGGAGTCATCAGCATGTAGCTAAAACTTAAAGCTTTGGGACTATTGGAGATAACCTAGAGAATGTATATAGGTAGAGAAAAGAAGAGGTCCCCATCTATCATGGAATGGGGATAAAAGTGGTTCCTACCTAATTGAGTTGTTGCAAGAGTTAAGTGACATTGGTACAGCGCCCATAGCACAGTGGTTATGGTGCCAGCCACATCCACCAAGCCTGGTGGGTTCAAAGCCAGCCCGGGCCTGCTGAACAATAATGATAACTACAACAAAACAAAATAGCCAGGTGTTGTGGCGGGCACCTGTAGCCCCAGCTACTTGGGAGGCTGAGGCAAGAGAATTTCTTGAGCCCAAGAGTTTGAGGTTGCTATGATGCCACAACACTCTACCAAGGGTGACATAGTGAGACTCTGTCTGATAAAAAAAGAATTAAGTGACATAAATATATCTCAAATGCTTAGTACAAAACCTGTCACATAGTAAGTACACAATAAAACAACAATAATATAGGCATATGTGAACTCAAATTTGAGTCCCTAATAAAATTTTCAAAAAAGGATGTTCTTACCCTTTGAAATAAAAATTTTAAAGTTGCACAACAGTGAGAATTTCTATTGCTTCTGAGAACCATTTCTCACTATTATTTTGTTTTTGTTTGCAAATAGCCCCTGGAGAGATGATAAGTGTGGTAGTACACATATCAGTATAACTTATTTTTAAAGTAATTTTTTATATAGTTAACAACTTATTTAGTGTCTTATAACAACAATTATGTGCCTGAATTTCTTTTAAGAGTTTTATTTCTGTTATTTTTTTTCCTAACAGAAGCTCAAAGAAAGGAAGTTGAAGAAATGTTGTATCAAGAAGGCTTGTCCAAAATAGCCCTAAGTAGCCCCAGTGAACAGATTGCATGCTTACTGGTGGAGAGAAGTACACCCTTGAGGAAACTGGAACTTATGGACTACAAGCCAGAGTCAAAAAGATGTATGAGCGGTAACCTACAGAAAGAATTTTCCCAGGTATTTCAAAATTAACTAGATAATTGAATAAGAGGCAGGGCAGTTTTAAAGTACATTCATTCATTGAAATATCAGGAAGCCAGTTTACTTGTGCTTGAGAATACATGCTTTGTATTTGTATGAACTTCTTCTGCCACTTGTTAACAGTAACTTAACTTTTGTGAGTTTTGATGTCCTCATCTGTAAAATCTGGGATCAATTCAGCTATTCTACAAGTTGATCATGAAAATTAAATAACTTAATGTATATAAAGCTCTAGAATAGTACCTTACACCTACTAATTAGTATTATTGTTATTATTTCTCGAAAACATACTGTATGCCAATCTTTGTGATAGTAGATTTAGAAACTAAGTCAAATGCAGCCTGATCTGGACTTGCAAGGAACTTAGAAACTAATGGAGGAAACAGGTAAGCCAGTGTACTTCAGTGTGGATAGTCTTATGTTAAAGGAAAGTACAGGCAATGAGGAAAATTCAGGGGGAAGGATTAAGTCAGATAGGATGGGTAGGGTGATCAAAGGCTTCCAGAGAAGGTGATGTTTAGCAGTGTTTTGAAAGTTGAGTATATGTTAGCTAGATGAACGAACTGGGAAAGGAATTCCTAGAAGAGGGCACAGAATGGATATGAACATGCTGGCTGGTTCATGTGAATGAATGAATGCTGAGGAATGTGGCTGGAGATATTTTCAGGAACCACATCAAGGCGAGGCTCACATACTAAGCTTAAAAGAGTTTGGATATAGCACCTGGACCATGCTAGTTGTTCCTGGACCATAATAGAGGCATAAACACATTTTTTAATGTAGAAATGATTGAATTTGTTATAGAAGGTATGAAGAATCACTAAGTGATTTTAAGACGAGAGTTAATGTAATCTAATTTATGTTTTAGAAAAATCAGTCTACCCATATTTGATTATTACATTGTATGCCTATATCAAAATATCGCATGTACCATATAAATGAAACTATAATATTGTGTACCCATAATCATTAAAAATAAATAAAAAGGAAAAGGAAAAAAATCACTCTAGCAATGGTGGAGGGATGGCTTCCATAGGGGCCAGATTAGAAGTAGGCACCTTAGGGGAAGTTTTGTAGCAATTAATCAAAGAACGAGAACCAAAAACAAGACTCAGAGTGTAAATGGAGAAGGGAAGATCAACTGAGGAGCTGTTAATGAGATCGAATCTATAAAACAAATTGGAAATGGTGAAGTGAAGTCTTGGATAACTCTAATGCCATCTACCCAGTCACTTTCAGATCCATAGTTTTCCATCGATGGCCAGAAAGAATTAAAACAAATATTTCATCTCCTTCACTTTGGCTTTGGCAAAACAAAATAAAACAAAGCAAACCCCCCACCCCCAGATACTCCAAAGGTACTTTTGTCTGATATGTAACCCATAAAATTTGTGTTGCATCCCCAGTTATATTTTGCTTGAGCTAAGTTGTAATTAGCCTGAAAATAAAATAGTAAAGTCACTTTTTTGTGACTTTTTTTTTTTTTTTTTTTTTGAGACAGAGCCTCAAGCTGTCGCCTTGGGTAGAGAACCGTGGCATCACAGCTCACAGCAACCTCCAACTCCTGGGCTCAAGCGATTCTCCTGCCTCCACCTCCCAAGTAGCTGGGACTACAGGTGCCCGCCACAACGCCTGGCTATTTTTTGGTTGCAGCCGTCATTGTTGTTTGGTGGGTCTGGGCTGGATTCGAACCCACCAGCTCAGGTGTATGTGGCTGGCGCCTTAGCTGGTTGAGCCATAGGCGCCGAGGCGACATTAAGATAGATTTATAGATCAATGGACCACAATAGAGTCCAGAAACAGGCCCACAGCTATCCCATCAACTAATTTTCAACAAAGGTTAAAACTTTATTCAATGGGAAAATGGTGACCTTTTCAACAAATGATGCTGGAACAAATGGATAGACATATATGCCCCCCCCAGACCCCAAAACCATTAATCAGGTTCTTTTCCCCATTGGCAATGAGTGCCCTACCTAAATACTACGAGATAGCCAAATACATATCAGCTGACCCTGGACAGAGATAAGATTCATAGCAGTTTATTAGTAACATATACTCATGGTCCAGGGGAAGAAAATACTACATGCCATGCAGGGCCACAAGGGGTTATTCTTGCAGGGGTCCTTAAACTACGGCCCGTGGGCCACATGCAGCCTGCTGAGGACATTTATCCGACCTGCCAGGTGTTTTTGCCGCCACTGCCTGTCCTGCTTAGCAGCCTACTTGTCCAGGGCCTGCAGTCCGGCCCTCCAACGGTCTGAGGGACAGTGAACTGGCCCCTTGTTTAAAAAGTTTGAGGACCCTTGCTTAGGAATAGAGTAAACTCACAGAGGCTATGGGAGTCAGGCTTTGTAGTAACAAGAGGGTGAGGTGCCTCTTGACTACCCTGGGAAGATATATAGTAATTGATGTGTCTGAAAATTAATGTGAGGATTGGATGGAGTGCAATTGCTCTGACTAATATGATAATCAGCCAGGTGGGGAAACTCCCTCTCGGTGGGGACATGTCTGGTGAGAGCTGAGGAACTCACTGTCTGTTAAGCCTTTGGAGCTTTGTGAGATTCAAAGATATCAAGGCAGGACATGGAATTTTAGGACTTACAGTATACTTATCTCCCACCATATACAAAAATTAGCTCAAAATGGTTCTTATGTCTTAAGAGATAAAACTTATGGAACAAAACAAAAATATCTTAGTGCCATTGGGTTTGATAAGATTTTGTGGAAAAAACATTATAAAAGAAAAGTTAATTTTGACTTACTAAAAATTCAGAATGTTTGCTCTTTAAAAGACACTGTAACAAAAGTGAAAGGCAATTCACAGGTTAAGAGACAATGTTTTATAAATCTGACAAAAGCTTTGTATCTAAAAACGTAAATAGGCTCGGTACCCATAGCTCAGTGGTTAGGGCACCAGCCACATACACTGGGGCTGGCAGGTTGAACCTGGCTGGGGCCTGCTAAACAACAATGACACCTACAGCCAAAAAATAGCCAGGCATTGTAGCGGGTGCTTGTAGTCCCAGCTATTTGGGAGGCTGAGGCAAGAGAATCACTTAAGCCCAAGAGTTTGAGGTTGCTGTGAGCTGTGGCACTACAACACTCTACTGAGGGCAATGTAGTGAAACTCTGTCTCAAAAAATAAAATAAAATAAAATAAAAGTTTAAAAAATCATAAATAAATAAAAATAAAAACGTAAATAAGATACAATTCAGGATAAGAAAACATGTAATCCAATTGAAAAAATGGGCAAAAGATTTAAATAGAGACTTCACCAGAAAAAAAACATGGATGGCAAATAAATACATAAAAAGATGCTAATTTCATTTGTCTTTTAGGGAACACAAAAACTATAATGAGATACCACTATATATGTGCTAGAATGGCTAAACTTAAAAAGACTAATTATGTAAACTGCTGATGAGAATGTGAAGCAACTAGAATTCTCATATCCTATTGGTGGGAATATAAAATGATGCAATTACTTTGTTGTGCTTTTTAAAAATTATTATGAGTACATAGTAATTGTATATCTTTTTAGGGTACATGATGTTTTGATACAGGCACACAATGTGGATTAAATCAAATCAGGGCAATTAGGGTATCCTTCACCTCAGGTGTCTATCATTTCTTTGTGTTAGAAACATTCCAATCCACTTTTTTAGTTATTTTAAAGTGTACTGTAACTTGCTGATTATAGTCACTTTTTTTATAGTCACTTTTTTTGTGCTATCAAATAGTTCATTCTAACTATCTAACTGTATTTTTGAACCCATTAATCATCTCTATTTTATTTTCCACTCCCTACTACCCTTCCCAACTTCTGCTAACTATCTTTCTATACTCCATCTCCATGAGATCAATTTTTTAAAATATTTAGCGCCAACACATGAGTGAGAACAGAAATGATTTGTCTTTTTGTGCTTGGCCGATTTCACTTAACATATCGTTCTCAGGTTCCATCCATGTTGTTGCAAGTGGGAAGATTTCATTCTTTTTGTGGCTATATAAAATATTCCATTGTGTGTAGGTACCACACTTTCTTTATCCATTTACCTGTTGATGAACACTTAGGTTGATTCTAAATCTTGTGAGTGGTGCTGCAGAAAACATTGGAGTGCAGGTATCTTTTTTTTTTTTTTTT